CAGGGCCTCCCTGCCGTCGCCGGGCAACTGCGGCCCCGGGCGCGGGACCCCGAGGGACCCCAGCTCCCGGCCGCGCGCACCGACCTCGGGCCCCCGGCTGGAACCGGGCCCTGAGCCTCGGGCCCCCGAGTTTGGCCTCGTCGGACGGCTCCCATCCAGCTGTCTCCCCAAGTTCACCAGGGAGTCGGTTCCGAACAAACTCGGGGGCAGAGAGGGGCAGCCCTTGCTCCAGTTCCTTTCATCTTCGGCCCTTTGGCTTCTCCTCCCTGTCCAGATGTCAGTAAGGGCAGGTCTGGTGGGCGCCTCTGACTTCTGGTGTGTATTTAAGGTAGTCGATGTACCTGGTCAAAAACCAGGTCCAGTCAGCAGTAGGGGAACATAGTGGACACTGCGACCCTGCCCCTCGGTTCTGCTCCAGGACCACCTGTGTGGGGTCCATGGAAGTTTTATGCATGTACCACCCCTCCTCTGCTCCGGCTGTTGGTTTTGTTCTTAATTTATAAATCTTAGGGGACTGTGTGCGCCGTTGGTAACTTTTTACCCAACACGTATCTTTGGTAATCTAATTGGAAAAGATTCCTTCTCCACAGTTAAATTTTGGTAACCGCGAGGATACGCCCTTAGACGCGATAAGTTCAAGTGTAGATCGTGACTGTGACACTAGTCACAAAATCATTCTTCCGGGGACGAGAAGCTAGGTGATGTAACGACATGACAGATCCGGGAGGCAGAGGGCCACCTCCCGGGAAGGGTGTTTATTCTAAACAGTCGGTCTCAGCGAGCCCTGGATGGGGCACCGGCTGTGTCTGTCTTAGTTACAGCTGGAGACGTGGTGTCTTCAGCTCATTCAGCAGCATTTCCCGAATGCTCACTAGGTGCCTGGCACTGTGCTGGGCGACCCTGCAACCCACTGCAGTTGTGAAGAGGACATCCCCGCATGTCGGGAGCCAGGTGTTCACCTCCCGTCTTTGTGCTGTTGTTGCTGCGGCAGCAAAGCCGAAGGCCGTTTTCGGTTTCGCAACGCGGGCTGTGTTTTGCAGCCTCAGTTTCATCATCGGTGAAATATCACGCTTATCTCGCAGGGTTGGTAGGAGGAGCAGATGAGATGATTGTTGACAACAATCCCCAGCACATAGTAGGTGTTCCCGCACGTTCCTGCCCTGTCCTCAGCAGGTGCACGTCCTCCTTGTCCAGCACGGCACCTGACACAGTGTTGTCGCTTAAAAGGTGACCGTGTGGGTGGGCGACTGACTCTCCTTAGTAGAATTTTCCTTTCTTGTTTGCCTCACGTGTCCTTGTGTTAATACCAGCGCTCACCTGAGCTGATGACAGTATTTAACCGTTGTTGTAGGGTGGCTGTAACAGGCTACCTTTATTCACGTCGGCCTCAAGACAACCTACAGGGCGGGTTAACATTACCGTTAGCTTATTCATGGGGAGGCTGAGGAACAGAGAGGGTAAGTAGCTTGCCTCGAACCACAGTTAGTGAATTACGGAGCAGGGATTTGAACCCAGGAGCCCTGGTGGTACAATGGTTAAGCACTTGGCTGTTAACTGAAAGGTCGCTGGTTCAAATCCACCAGTGGCTCTGGGAGAGAAAGACCTGTAAAGATTACAGCCTAGGGAACCCTATGGGGCAGTTCTACTCTGTCACACGGGTTGCTATAAGTCAAAATTGACTCGACGGCACCCAGCAACAACAACAGTCTGGCTCTGAGTCTGCACGCCAAGTATGGCACTGTACCGCCTTTCTGGCCGCGGTTCTTGTTCACAGTCTCCCCTGAACGCTTCAGTGATGGTGGTGCACTGCTGGGCATCAGAACTGTGTTTTTTGTAGCATTTATAACTAATAGGTTTTTATTTTTGGTGAGGCTGAGTGTTTATAAAACCATGTTGTTCTTTTGAAATATAGTCATTCTCTGTCCGGCCACCCAGGAACTTGCGAGCACACCCCACCTGCCTCCCAGGTCCTCTGTTAGTAGCGAAGACGCGGGTGCTCATTGTGGAGAAAGGAATCAAGAGAGCGGAGGTGTTGATGCATAGGTTTTAAGGTATAAGGCTTTAGTTTTTGATTCAATACTGAGTGAATTTAATGCAGTTAGTCTTACGTGTACATTTAGGAGGTTTTTCTTTTCTCCCCCAAGTGCATTGGAAGGGATCAGACTCTATTTTGTTGAACGTTTGAGGAGGATGTTATTTTAATGTTTAAAAAGTGCCATTTGACTTTCATTGTAGGTCTCTGACCCTTGCCCTCCAGGAGAGGCTAGCCAGTGCTGCTCGGATACTGATTTCAAACTTCTTCGACTTTAAAACTTTTATTACATTCAGCTAATTAGAAAAACGGCATTCCTTTTGGTGAGGAAAAATTTTGACAAGTTTCATGTACTTTTATACTCTACAAACAGGGTTTACTCTCTTGAAAATGGTTTCCTCAGCATTTTTGTGAAAAGCTAAGGCTTGTCCTTTCCTAAGAGTTTGACTGTGGCAGTGACAAGGCATTCAGGGCTGAAGCCTTTTAGTGGAAACAGTGACGATTGGTCCTCAGGTAACGCTTTACGTTCGTGAGTTTAAGAATCACTCTGCAGGCGGTGTGCGGGAGTGGGAAGGGCCCAGGCTGGCCCTCAGTCTGGCTCTTCTTCTCTGGCTGTTTGATGTGAGAAAAGTCTCATAAATGCTTCTCCCTTCAGTGTCTTTGTCTGTAAAATGGAGTCTTTGTGACGTTAAGCACTCGGCTGCTACCCAAAAGGTCATTGGTTCGCACCCACCAGCTGCTTCACGGGAGAAAGATATGGCAGCCTGCTTCTGTAAAGATTTACAGCCTTGAAAACCCTATGGAGCAATTCTACTCTGTCCTAGAGGGTTGCTATGAGTCGGAATGGACTTGATGGTAGTGGGTTTTTTTTTTTTCGGTGAGGAATAGATGTGACAATATAAAGTGTCTGATGTCTAATAGGTGTTCAGTGCACGCTTGGTTCCCCTACCTGAGAGTGTTGAAATGGATGCCCACCAGCACACAATGACACACACACGCACACATGCGCACAAGTGTATGTGCGCACGTTTGCAACTTAGAAACAGGAAGTTAGAGAGAGCGTTGTTAGGCAGATTTGTGTCCTGTTAGAAATGGTTACAGCAGTGCTCTCGAATGACGACTGTTCAAGTGAGGGTTGTACTGATAAAAGATCCCCTAAAGAAATAAAACTGCCTTTGTTCACAGATGATATGGTTGTCTATGTAGAAAATGCCTAAAAATTGACCAAAAACTCCTGGAATTACTATACGATCACAGCAAGGTTGCAGGATAAAAGGCTAATATGCAAAAGTCAGTTGCTTTCCTGTATACCAGCAACGAACATAACACTATTTACATCAGCACCAAAAAAAAGGGAAGAAATACCTAGGTATAAATCCAATAAAATATGTACAAGATCTATATGAGAAGACTAAAAAACTCTGAGGAAAAAAATGAAAGAAAGTCTAAATAAAATCAGAGATATTCCATGTTCATGGATGGGAAGATCTAATATAATTAGATGTGTAGATTCAACACAGTTCCAGTCAAAATCACAGCATGGTATTTCGTGGATGTCGATAAACTGATTCTAAAGTGAAATGGAAAGGCAAAAGGCCCAGAGTAACTGACACAATGCTGAAGGACAGAGCTGGGGACTACCACCCCGTCTCCAGGACTTACCGTAAAGCCGCAGGGATGGAGACAGGGTGGTGCTGGCGAAGGGACAGACCAGGACCCCACGGGTGAGGCTGCGGCCACAGTGCTGAGCCGAGAGCCTTCTGTGGGCCGGGCTCCCACACTCACAGGTGGAGCACTGCTCATCCCCTAATCGTCACTGCGATTCCCACTGGAATTTTGACGTTTGATTTCGTTTTTAGCATAAATGGTCAAGTGCGAGGTTCAATTCTGAAACTGACTGCGCTTCTGGGTTGATTTGTGTAACCTTAGAGACTCACAGGGAGGTCAGTATTTGAACATGACTGGTTATTAAACAAACCTATGAGCGCTGACATCCTGGCTTCTAGTCTGATGCTGTGGGTACGTTCAGTGTCCACGTACAGCGTCTGTGTCCACTGTAGTTTCCACTTTTCCAAGTGTCTCTGCTGAAACATCTCAGGTGTTGGCGTCACAGCCATGTCAGACTGCGGGTCGGACTCAGGTCCTGACTTGGAAATGGGGTGTGGCGTGCCAGCCCTTGCCTGCCGCTCTGGTTAGCAAACGTGTAATTAAATGTTTGCAAGGACTTCATAGTGCTTGTTTCCTTTTCCTTCCAGAGTGAGAAAATAACCTAGGCTCATTTGGCAGAATCTCAAAGTTCCAGCGTCTTTTTAGCCATAGCTGTAGTCACGCAAACATTCTCATTTTGGAGCTAAGCAATAGAAGCAAGCCTTCAGTGACTGGGTTGGAGGGATGGAGATGCTGGGAGACCTGTGCCCCATGCTTGTGTCGCTTTCTGCCTGCTTGCTCACTTGCTTTCTCCACTGGAGACCTTGCTTGGCTTATTCTGAGATGCCAACTCCAGGATCAAGTCATGGCTGTGCCACTGCTGGCTCTGTGGCCCTTGGGACCGGCGACGAGGGGGCCGTGGGAGGGGGGCCGTGTGTCTGTCCGGCACGGATGTGCTGGCCCTCACTCTGCTTCTTCCTGCGTCTGCCCGTCCATCCAGGAAACCGCCCAGTGCTGGTGGAGGAGGCCTGCGGCTGCTCCCTGAAGGTGAGGTGTGT